GGCGTAGTAGTCGGTGGTAGCCTGGATCAGCCAGCGACGCCATGGACATCAGCTGGAAGAAACAATCCCCACCCATCACACAGAAAAGACGTGCTGATCTTTCGCCGTCGCCATTGCTCAGTTTCCGTGAAAACCCAACTCAGAGAGAGAGAGAGAGAGGTGAGTGAGTGAAAGAGAAGAAGAGATAAGAAGGGGGTTTTTTAGGTGAAAGCTTGAAGTCTGGGAGGGGAGTGAGTTAATGCAAGGGTTTTACAGTTGTTCATTTTTATCTCAGTGGTAGCGTAGAGACACGCGCCGTTGTCTGGGCCAGCCGCTCCGTGATTTGTGGCCCAGTTCTGGATGCAGTAGGTTCGTCGTTGTGGCGTGTTTCGTCCTCTAAGGGGTAAACGGTGTCGTTTGTTGACACGTACCCGCTAGATTTGATTTTATTGTTTTTCAAAAGTACAACCTGTAATATAGGGTGAAAGTATGTTAGTGTTAATTAAAAAAATTGAGTTCAATTTTTGAACTAGTTGGTTTAATTATAATAAAAGAATTAATTTATAGCATAACGAAATTACAGAGTCCAATTAATAGTTAATTAAAAATCTATTTTATATAAATATGTGGGCTCAGGTGTTTTAGTAGATTTTTTATTTTCGTCTTTCGGTGAAAAGCAAATTTGGAGGATATTATGTATATATATAATATTTTGATTGAATTTTTTCTATTTAAAAATATTTGATTTGTGAATATTATTATTTAAATAGTTGAAGTTGGTAAAGACGCAATTGATATATATTTGCCGCGTATTACGTTAAGCTGTTCACATGAAAGAGCACGTTCCTTGGCCACTTACAACTCATATCCAAAGACCTTTATGAACTCAAGCATTACATCCAATGTCATTAATGTCTTTTGTGTTATAATTTGTTATATAAATTAATAATTTGCGGTTTGATCATATGATAGGTAGGTTGCACAATGAGTAACTGTTCCATAATTTCTACACTTTATTTTTATAATAATTAATTTAAAAAATATATAAATGAGATCATCGTAATAATATATAATTTTACTTTTTTTTTAAATTAGATAATATTTTTTAAAAAAACAAATACGTCTACATTTGGTGACAAGATGGACCGATGTAGCCTTAATATGATTTACACTTTCATATTTGTATATTCGAGTTAATTTTGATGTTTGATATCCTTTTCTTTGGGTTACTTTAATTTCATTGCATGAATGACATTATCTATTTAAATTTTAGTATGAGCACTTACTTTTATAATACTATTTGTGTGGTCGAATAAGACATACACTTGTGAGCTGCTAGAGCATTTTTCTTTGAGCTGCTAGAATAATAACTGTTTTAATTTTTTCTAATATTGCTAAAAGTACATATATCATAATAGTCGATATTGTAGTTTTATTTGAACCATTTTGCTATGACTCTTACTTTATATTTCTAACTGAGCTGTTATAATTTAATTTGGTCTCGTAAATCCATTTAACACTGATTATTTCACCATCTTATGCTAAATCTACTAATTCCTAAGTATTATTTTTTTTTTATCATGTGAATTTTATTTTTTATTGTTTTTACCTAATTATGTTATTTCTCAACTTTTTAAGAATTTTATGACTCAATAGTTGAGAAATTACATGACTCATAATTTTTTGTTAGGCTTCTTATATGTCTTAAAGTTAATTTTAAAGCAGTCGACTCTTCTCTTATATTTCTACTAGAATTTGGGCTTAAATTTGAACTAGATCCATCTTGTCTTTAAGTGTTATTTTGATCATGTGGTTCAATTATTGGAGCAATTAACTGACCCAATGAAATAATAGTTGGTGATGACTACTTTTCTTGAACCTTCTCTTCTTTCTAATTCTAGAAAGTATTCTCATTGAATATGACATCTCTAGTAATTTTAAGCTTTTTTTTTCCCCCAAATTGTACACCTTGTACCATTTTGTGTCATCATTATAACTAACAAAAATAAATCTTTTATTTTTATTATTAAATGCAATCAAAAATCTTAATGTGACTGATATGATTTGATAGTGTTTTATGCTTCAATTAGAATTTGATTTTGTCAGACTTCTATTCAATTTATATATTGTTGTAAACATATTTTTCTCCTTAATCATCAATCTAGCCATCTTGACAATCGTTCAATTTTTTCTCTTAGTGATATCATTTTATTAAGGAGTATAAATTGTTGTCAACTATATCTGAATATCTTATTCTTCACAAGAACAATAAAAATTCTTCAAGGCAAACTCACTGTCTTGATTAGTTAGTAATATTTTGATTTTTCGTCATGACCTTAAACTTCTCGAACATTTCAAAAATCTCTAACTCCTCTTTTAAAAAATACACTCATGTCATCCTTATATAGTTATTAATAAAAACTAGAAAATATTAGCTATAGTCTTGTGATGGTGTATGCATATTTTCGTATTATGTCATTATGCACTGTCTCAAGAGGTGCGCGTGCTTGCTAAGACCCTCTAGATGGAAAAGATGATCGATGTTGCTCGTCAAAAGTACATCATTCACGAGTGCTCAAATTTATATTGACGAATGATAGACCTTAAACTATATTTTTTAAACTCTTAATAGCTTTAGAACATTATAGCTGAAATGATCGAAACCTTTTGTTGGTAAGTCTATAAGCAGTTTGCTACCTCACTTTAATGTCAATTCTGAAGCATGACTGATTTGCAGCAGACAGTTTATTCAAAATTATAGCGTAACTAGTAATTAATTTTTGTAATCTCCAAATAAAATTTACATATATAAATACAAATTTATAAAAAGAAATTCAGAAACAAACAAAATTTATAAAGAAGTTTCACAGTAATATACAAGCACGTCTTGCTTGCAACTAAAGTGAAAAATTCTAGAAGAAGTTCCCTGGCGTTGGAGGTTATAATGGCAAGGAAGACGATAATGGGGTCTGGAGACAGCAGGGAAATTGCAATCAATTTTATTATTATTATTATTATTATTAAAGAAATGTTAATAGGAAGAATGAAAATAGATGTTATTATTATGTGCATGTGGTGGGTTGCTCTCGCTCACCGTGTTAAACACGCTACAGCTCATTTCCATTCTGTCACACAGCTTCATTTGGTTTAAAATCCCCAGTACGCACTTTCCACCGGATATTCTTTTTTATTATTATTATTATTTCCATCATAATTTTTCTTACCAGATTTATTAAAAAGTTATATCTAATCATCACCCCTACTCGGGATGGATTCAATCTATTGCATATAAAAAAGCAGAAATCATGTTTTCTTTAGTTACTGTGAAAATAAACAAAGGTGGCTTTCGAGGGTTCTGTATATATTGTTAATTCCAAGCTCTGACCAGTGAGTTGCTTTAAAATCTCAATTTCTCCAAGTGGATTTGCTGCAGCGGATAAGGTGTGTGTTAAGGGAGCAGGGAGATGTTTCAAGTTAATGTAATATTCATATTTTAAATTTTGAGATAATAATTCAACTCAATTGCATAACTTCTCTAGATAATAGATACCTCACAATTAAAATCCCCATGACCTCTTCAAAAAATACACAACTACCTAGTAGATAAAAACACAACACTAACTACAATTTTTCACATCTTCAAAACTGGGTTTAAAACTAACCTCATGAGATTTTTTACCACTTTGTTGATAACTGATTTACAAATAAATTTCATAGATTCAATATAACCTCATTCATTAATCACTCTTATCATAGCGAAGATAGTTGCAATTCTTCATGAAGCTAGTGAATCGCGAGTGATACCAATTTCCTATAATCTTCTCGTACTGTCTCCACCATTGCATAAAGCTGCTATGTTCCAAAAAAATCTCAGGAGAAACTTCATAGTTCTCAATCAACTCCATTGTATACTGCTCAAACTCAATCAGTTTATCTCTCAGTAGTATCCTCTCGTTGGCATTGCATCCTTCATCCATCCACATTTTGCATGAAATCAAAGCCTCCTCAACGCGCGCCCAAAAACAAGAATCAAAGGTAAGCAAATTAGCTAGATTTTGCTTAGGTAACTTGCTTGAACTACCTGATGGTTTTTCTGCTTCCTTCAGCCATTCCTCCAGCTGAACAAAATGCTGGCATCTTCCTTTTCTTATGTAATCTTCTTGGCCCCTCTCTTTGTAGTACTCAGCTATCTCAAGCGGTTCGATCATCCTTCTATAGTTTGTACCAGCATAAAGCCACCGTGTCCTAAAGGATGCCCCTTCTTTCTGAGGCTTCTTATTAGCTTCTGCAACCATTTCTTTCCAGTAATTTGTTAGCATTCTCTTATTCCGGGCAACTTTTATGTCGCTTCTGGACGCCTTGTTCTTATAACTGTCATAATAACCTATTTGCTTGTCCCTACAATCTTTTTTGTACCATTCCAGTTCAGCCATGTATATCTTCATTTTGTTTAATTTCTTCGACGGATCAAATACAAAAGGCTTTTCCAGTTTCTCCATTCTTGTCATAAGTGCAGAAGGATCAATAATCTGCTGTGGCTGCAACCACGAATTTCATATTATTCAGAATAATATGGCTTCTAGAGCTTGCAAGCGATTATAAGAAGTGTTTCCATAAGCTGTTACATACATACAAAAGCTAACTATTATCATCCTAAATTATGCTTTAGCAAGTGTAGTGGACATAACTAATTGTCATGGACTTTTGGCAGGAAGGTTAAATTATATTTGTAGCATAAATTCTATCTAGAGTTAGACAATTCTACCATATAACCATGATTTGCACGATTACCTGTGGCTTCTTTATCCCAATTGCTTCAAGTTTCAACACTATTCCTGCTTCAAGCGAATGCCTAATCTGTTTATCAAGCCCTGAACTTCCTTTCAATATCAGCATGGACCCAATAACTTTCAATATGTTCCCATAGTGCAGCAATAAGTTATCATCCTCTAGAATCTGAATTCCAGCACTCTCCAAGCCCATTGCCACAAGAAATTCCGAGAGAGTCTCAGGCTCCTCAAACCAAGTACATCCAAATTCAGAACACAAAAGAAATGTCCCAAAAGGTTTGTAACTTCTATTTGGGAAAGCTGAATCAATAATATGCCGGTAGTCAGGTGAGATGAAAAGTTTTAGAACTGGATCTTCCCTTGCAGTCACATGTAAGAAGCAAGAATTCCATCTTGAGTTTTCTAAACCTGCCTGAACACCAGGATCACGGATAAGGGGTGCACCAAAAGTAATGCAAAAGGGGTGCTTGGAGGTCGATCCATTGATGATCTCTAGCAGCCATAAGGTAAAGAGAGAGGCAATAGATCCTCCCAGAGAGTATCCAGTAATAACTAATGGCCAAGTGTTGTCAACCTGCATCAGAAAATGTGATGTATCATAGTTGAACTAGAATCGGAAGAAAAAGAAAAAAAAAAAACAAAAACAATCCACAGTCACCGGTATATGATCACAACTACAAGAGTCAGAAAGTACTGACAACCACATTGTTAACAAGTCCACCATCATGGTATTTCTTAACTAGAGTTTTATAACATACCATCATTCACAGACTAGATATCCCATTACAGTTAAATTTCTCAAATAATTGGTAGCTTTCTAAACTAGATTATAAATAAAAATGAAGAGTCCAAATACAAAAAAAACTATAGTTAAAAAATTATATCTTAACATTGCAATCCTTCTATTTAGGTTCGTCGTTGTTCTACGTTAAATGACATCCCATATGTAATATATACATATATAC